CCACATATATATATATATATATATATATATATATATATATATATATATATATATATATATATATATATATATATATATGTATATATTTATTTATTTATTTTATTTTTTCAAAAAAGAGGGGTAAACTAAAAAGCAACCAAATGCTTGTAGGAAAGTCACCCTATCCAAATGAAATTAAAATTGATCAACATAAATTAAAGATAAATTAAAGATTAAAGTAGTTCAACAAAAATCAATGATTAAATTAGTTCGAAATAAAAGATACATGGGGAATATATTCTTTAGTTATTACGATTGTTTCTATTATTGTTAATAATATTTAATGTAAAATAATCAAAACCTAACTATTAAACACAGATAAACAATAAAGATAATGAAAATTCAATAAGTACATATAATTAACAACATTATTTAAATCCAGTCAATTCAAATAATATCAGATAGAATACTAAAGTCAAAAGAAATTATACATAGATCCATTCATACAATACACACATTCAATTATTCACACATACTCACACACATACATGCACATAACACATAGGGTACATAGAAATAAACAACATAGTTTTATATAGTCAATAATAACAAACACTTCCTAATTCAAGAAAATAGTATTTTTATGAATCAGGTAGCATTTAATTTTAGATTTAAACAAATGCAAGTAACTGAGAGCTTTAATCTCAAGTGAAATCACCGTGTCCCAGACCTTTGATCCTATTAGTTTCAAACTTATATTTATTAATTTTATTCGGGCTGGATTTGAATTGAAAGTAGGATTGTGTCTTAGAGGCTTACTATGAATGGTATTTATTAGAGTAAAAAAATTTTTATAAGAAGGTGGAAGTAATTCATGTAAGTATTTAAACATGAAAATTGAGAAAAAGTATACATTGATGTTGTTTATATTTAAAATTTTCAAAACAGAGTAATATTTTGAAACAGAGCAAAACGGATGGAGATTTAGTAACAAACGAATGAAACGGTTTTGACACCGTTTGACTTGATTCAAGTGCACAGCAGGACAATTACCCCAAAGTAAGTTACAAAAGTTACAAAGTAGGTTACATAACGGGATGAGGATAAATGAGTGTGTTATACAGTTCCAAAAGTATATTTCTATTTAGTTTATGTTTGATCTTGTGTAGTATACCTATTAATTTGTTAAATTTGTCAGAAATAAAATTAATATGGTTGTCCCAGGAATGATTATCTTTAACTAAGACTCCAAGAAACTTAATTGAATCAGATCGGGCAATATTGTTAGTGTTAATATTAATATTCAAGTCAGGCAAACAATTTGTTAAAATTCTCGTACCAAATATTAAAGAACTGCATTTGGAATAGTTGATTTTAAGCTTATTTAAGGTAAACCAGTTAACTATTTTTTCAAGTTCACCATTTATTATAGACGAATCATTTGCAGAATTCTTGGTGTGGAAAAGAATAGTGGTGTCATCCGCATAAAGAACAAATTTGGCTATTTCAGAGGCATGACACAAATCGTTAATAAATAGTGTAAAAAGAAGAGGTCCTAGAATGGAACCTCGAGGAACTCCAAAACTGATATTAAGAGTCTCCGAACAGTGATCAATTAACAAATTGTTTCCTATTCTTAAGATATGAGCAGAACCACAAATGTATTAGACCTCTAACACCATAGAAATACAGTTTGGCAAGTAGGATGTCATGGTCAATCGTATCAAACGCTTTTGACAAATCTATAATATATATATATATGTATATAATATTATATATATATATATATATATATATATATATATATATAAATAAACACATATGAATATATGTGTGTGTCTATATACATATGTTAACAAAATAATAGTATGTATATTTATTTTTTACTTTGTAAAACAAATTCTGTAAAACGCAGAAAAAGTAACAACATGCAAGGAATGAAACAATGAATATAAAATTATGAATATTGAAAGTATTATTTGCATTCTATACAGTGATGACATTAGTACTCGGAAAATAGACTTGAGTATAAGTACCAAGAAATCAGTAAAAAATGTATTTTGGTATAAGTATTAAAAACAAAAAAATAAGTCTTTAGTAGTTATAGGTAATAAGTATAAGTTCTAAGTACATAAGTATCTAACTACATACCAAATGAAATATCTATAAATTGATTAACTGCAGAAATTAACAGTATTTTATTTATATCAATAAAAGAGTTTGTTTTTTTTTAAATAAAAATAGTTTCATATAATTTATCATTTAAACAATAGTTAAGTTTTATGAATATCTATTTAAAAGTAGAAATATTGAAAATTCTTAAACTATTTTTTTTACAATGGCGAAAAGCAACCATAAAACAGATCAAACTACAAAATTTTTTTTTCTTTTGAGGAGGGTTTGAATCCCGAAACCCCCCCTGACTACGCCCATGCATGCACACTTTTTATAGTGTCAGATTTTTTTGTCCAAATAATTTTTTTGTCTGAGAGGCGAAAAATCATTGAATTATATAATTCCATGCGAAAAAGTAAAGCCAAACATGGTACATTAATTATTTAGCTAGTTTGTATGTGTTTTTTTACACTGAACTATATAGTTCAATGGCTTTTTTTATTTTAAAACATCCATTTCTATTTTTTTTGTATTTCACTTTTTACATTTTAGCGCCCCATACATTTTTCTTATTAAAAAAATGATACTGATGTCACTGACGTCCATAAGATGTCTTGGTTGAATTAATATTTTTAGTTGTTCTCGTTGTTTATGAATGCTTTTATATATTTAATATTATAATAATGGTAGTTTAGTAATTAATGTTGGTATGGTATAATACTGTATAATACAGCATTCTCCTGTTTGCATATATGGGTATAATGTACAAAGCTTTAGATTTGATCTTGGCTAATACGGTTGATCAATTATTGAATAAATCTTCAGCGACGAAAATAAATGATCTCAGAAAACCTGGAGCGGTCATTGGTTTTTATTTTTCGGCATCTTGGTGTGAGCATAGTATGGCTTTCACGCAGTTACTTATATCTTTTTATGAAGATATAAACAAAAAAATTGACACAGAAAAACTGATTAATATAAAACTGTTTGAAATAGTTTTTGTTAGTTCAGATGGTGATGAACATAGCTATAAAGAAAGTATTAAAGATGTTCCATGGTTGTCTATATCATATCATTGTCACACCCTGAGAGTAAGTCTAAGACATGTTTTTAATGATTCTGTGGTAAAATATTTTCTAATAGTAACATATCTTTTTAATCTTGAATCATAATGTTGATAGATTTTTTATTTTTGAGTTATTTATAATCTGTTGAGTGTTGACATTGCCAATGTTCATCTCTGTCATTTAATGTTTGTCAATTTTAATCAGTGTCTTTGTAGTTTTTCAATTTTCTAGAAATAAGTCGACTATTATATAAATATATAGCCAAAAAATTAAATAATCGCTTATCCTAATATAAATTTAGAATTTTTGAAAAGTAATTGTATCTCCATGAATATTAAAAAGTGAATTGTCTTAAATTATAATTTTTAAAAGTTTAAAGAATAAAATTGAAAGGTTGGGTAAGGGTCAGAATTAAAGTTAAACTATTTTTGAAAAAAATTAATAACTTAATTATTTAAAAAAAAACATTTAATTTTGATGGCTGTTAAGTTTCAATGGTTTAACATTTCTTTCATCTTTTGGAATGAACCATTTGCACTGAAAGGAATGTGATAGTTTAACATAATTTGTTGATTGAGTGATTGAGGCATAAATAGTGAATTAATTTTTTTGCAATTAATAAATGAGCTGAAAATATTGAAAGGTTGTGCTGTATACTTTATAACAACCGGGGATGATCATTTCTGGATGACCTGTTTTGTAATTTTGTATTTTATGTTTGTCAGGATTTATTTTAAATGTTTACTCGCTCTGTGTTTTTAATGTCAAGAATTAAGGATTTTTCATTTATTTATTCATTTCAGTATCGCTACATTCTCATAGTTGCAACTTACAATTTTTCAGGCCTTTTTGTCTCATTTTTCTCATATTTTAAGATCTTTATTTTAATTAACTCATTGATTTTACAAGTTTTTCAAGTTTATTTTTTAATTGTACAGATTTTTAACTGCAACTTTGATTTAAATTGAAATTTTTTATGTATTTAGAAAAAGTTACAAAAGCGTTTCTCAGTAAAAGAAATCCCTTATTTAGTATTGGTTGATGGTTTTACAGAGGAATTAATTACAACTCAAGGAAAAGATTTCTTATCTGAGGATTTGAATGGTGATAACTTTCCTTGGAGACCCAAATCTCTTATTGATTTATTAAGCACAAATTTGCTGTTAAAAAATAAACAACTAATTGATATTCAGGAAGATATCAGAGATTCAGATTACAGAGGAATTTATTTTTCTGCTCATTGGGTCTGTGTAAAATCTTTATTCGATTCTTTATACTTGTATGTTTTTTCTTTTCTTTGCTAAACTTATAATACTTTAATGACATTATATTGTTTGAAATATTTGTGACCAAGATTTTGTTAATTTGAAATTTCCATTGTGCATGAACGAAATAGAAGTTAATAGCTTTTTTAACATTATTTTTATTTGTTTAATATAATGATAAATTTTTCAATTTGGTTTTTTTCCAACTCGAACGTAAATTAGTGCCCACCATGTAGATTGTTTACTCCTGTCTTAATTAACATCTACAACAAATTAAAAGAAAGAGGCGTCAAATTTGAAATAATATTCATAAGCCTAGACCGATCCTTGGAATCCTTTCAGGAATATTCACACTCAATGCCATGGTATGTTCTTAATTATCAGGACAATAGGATCAAGGTGCTGACCAAACAGTTTCAAGTTGAAGGTACAACTCAATTTTAGTTGCCTTTTATTTGATGATCTTATTTTTTCTTGTTTCTCACTCTTATCAATTATTATTTGAATAACCCGTGGTTGAAATCATTCAGTCGGCTTCTCAACATGTCCCTTCTTATAAAATAATGCTCAGATGCTATACTAAAAATTTGAGATTGATTGGTCGATTAACTAAAGCTGGACTACGTGTATTTAATGGCTGCCAATATAAAGTGTAGTCATTACAAATTAAAAAAAAATTTTAGTTCTGTTTTGCACAAGCTAAAACAGGTAATTGAAGATTTTGTAAAAGTTGAATTTTCAATCAACAAAAATGTCGCTAAATTAATAGAGCATATTCTGCACTACATTTTTTCAATTTTACATGGTTCAAGTAGGAATGGTGACAATGGAAAATCACAAAAAATTTTACGAAAAAATCGTATAGAGTTTTCTTGACAGATAGAACATTTAAAGTAAAAATAGAGACATGCTGCCAGAGTCTATTGGGACCACTTCTATTTCTCATTAACATGAACAATGCTGCTAAAATTTTTAAAAATATTGTGTTATTTGCCGACAAACTAAGCTCTTAAAAATGGACCAAGATAAAAACAACAGTCAGGAATCACTAATCAGTGTATTTAAAAAAACGCTCCCCATAAACGTTGCAAGTTTTAACAACCGTTACGGAATAAAACATAACAAAACATTGAAGCTTGTGATGTTAAAAATTTCAAATACATGCTGGACAGATTTTTTTGTGGCAAAAGATTTCAATGACCCAGTAGCGTTTGCTGATTTGAAACTCTCTTTTTTATGTGTACATAATAGTTACTCTTTGTGACAAACCTCAATTATTATTACTTTTTTCTCAGATCGTGTTGATAGTTCTTTCATCTACGTAGAATAAAAAACTTGCCTTTTCTAGATGATCCTACTCTTCTCCTTCTTGTTACTTTTTCAGTTTTATCTAGGATTGATTATTGTAACTCGCTCTACTATGGTCTTCCTGATTCTACACTCTATCCTATCTGCTGCTCGTCTAGTTGATTGTGCTCTTTTGTTTTCTCATATATCTCCAATCTTGTTCTCTTCCACTGGCTATCTATAAAATATAGAATATTTTTTTAAATTTGTACTTTTATGTATAAGTCTCAATCTAAATTATTTTCTAAATACATAAGTTCTATATCAGATGTAATAATTGAACCTAAACGCCTCAGTCAACGATCGTCTTCTTGTTCTTACTTTTTCTTAACTCGTGTTAAACAATCTTTTGCTAAATCTGCATTTGCTTTTTCTGGCCCTTTTCTCTGGAACTCAATACTTCCATCTCTGACTACTTCTCTATCACTTACGAAGTTCAGTGCGGATCTCAAGGCCCATCAGTTTGCAAAGTTCATTGAGGAGCGCTGTTGAACATGGCGGAAATAGCACTTTATAAACTAATTGATTGATTGAACTGTCTTTATTATTTTATATGTTTATTTTTGTTTTCACAAAGGGTTCGACCAGGCTGATTTTTTGAAAAAATAAAATAAGTTGTAAATAATTAAATTGGTAAAATCTCAAAAATCTTTAAATTACGGCCCTCTAACTCATCTTTCTACTAATAGTGGCTCTTTTCTCAAAATGTTGTGCATTCCTATACTGAATGAAATTTTCTAATAATTTCTGCCAAAGTTTCAAATATTTACAAAATAAACAAACCAATTACAATTAAATTTCCAAATTTCACTGGTTCTAAGTTGTAAAATTTGAATTATTGTTACTAGGCGGTAAAGCAGAAAAAGAAAAGTTTAATGATTTTGAGTTATTTCTATAAATGTATATTATGAATTCATCTACTGAAATTGCTTGTCAAAACAAAATTGGAAGAGATTTTGTAAAAAAAATGTGAAGCTAAGATTTGATTACAAACTGTTTATAGACACATACAAACATCTTTTATTTATTTCCTAATAAATATGTTGACATGTCGGTTAGCGGAATCGCAAGTGAATCTTAAGTAATTTGAAGCGGCTAAGTAGACGAGCTCTTCAAATATTTTTTAACAGAACAAAAGATTAGAGAAAAGGTGACAACTCTTAAATTGGGTTGTGTTGGCTTCCACCTTTTTCAGCAACTGATTCGAAAAACAAATTTCAAACCAGTATTTGTTTATATTCGTATTTAATTATGTGTTTAGCTGCTTATACACTTTTTCATAATCAAATTTTTTTTATAGAGATTGCTATTTAATGGTCGTTAAAATATCTTTTCAGTTGTCGTTGCGATTCTGTTTTAGCTCTTTTGTCGGATAACCTTATGAATGTATAACTGAATGTGTAATTTTATAGGAATTCCACGCTTGATAATCTTGAATAAAAATGATAGAGTTGTATGTGAAGATGCCAGGCAAGCTGTATACAGTGACCTTGAAGCCATGGTAACTTATATATTTAACGTTTATAGGTTTATATTTTATACTACTTGAAACAATGTACGTCTTCTTTTTTGATAACATTTAGAGATTTCCTTGGATTCCAAAGTTAGTTGATCAGCTGAACGAGACAAACGTTCATGATTTCCAAACTTATCCGTGTTTGGTACTATTCACAGGTAGTGGGCTCCTTCAAAACAACTGTTCTATTTTTCATTTCAAATTTTCTCTCTCTCAACGTTCTTAAATTTTTTCAGTTTTTTGTTTTGTTTCAGTGTGCTATGAAGTTATATTTTCTTATTTAGTAGCAACTTTCTTTTCTTATAATAAAAATATCTTAATTTTGTTAAATATTCAATCAATAGATAACATTTCTTATGTAAAATATCAATGTGACCTAAACATTTCACGCATCACGCGATACACATTATTGTTTATAAGATCTTCATTGTCCTTGTTTTTTTTTGACAATTTGTTTACATGTGTTCTTGGTAACTTACAAATACCCAATAAATAAAAAACGAACTACTAACAATTAATGTAGTTCCCCAACGTCAGTTGATAAAACTTAATAACTTGCAGTACTAACAAAAGAGTTCACTATGGTTTGTTAATATATATTATTATTATTATTATTATTATTAAATGAAAATTTATAAATCGCTTTTTAATAAAATCTCAAAAGCGCCTACAATAAGTGCAAGAAAAAATAAACAAGAAAAAAGAAAGAAAGTTGATTGTCATTCAGTTAAATGTCAAAACACACATATATTTAACACAAAATCAATAAATAAATAGATGACCAAAAAGAAGTAATACTAATTCAAATGACGATTTTTAGGATTTATCCACACAAGTTATTAGGTATGTACAAAAATTCAACACAATAATCAACAAACCTCACAACGAATTATTAACCTACACAAGAATTAAAACAACATAATGATAGTACTGACTAATAAAGAACATAAAAAAAAAACATAATCATATTTAATTACAAGAACCGAAATGCTGCTTAAAAAGCAGCAACTTTAATTGTTTACAAAATAGAGGAAATGATATTCCAGGTAGAAGGAGTGAGGTTGGCAAATTATTTCACACCATCGGTCCAGCAACAGCAAAATTTCTTTTACCAATCACCAAACGGGTTTGAGGAACGTCTAGCAAATTCCTATTATTGGATCTCAATCCTGGATAACCAGACGTTGAATCACGTTTAGTCAATCTACCGACCAAGTACGGAGGAGCACGCTCATTTAAAACTTTGAACATCAAAACAGCAATCTTGTAGATAATTCTCTTTTCAATCGGAAGCCGTAAAATCGGCGTCACATGATCAGATCTAAAACCTCCGACAACTAGCTTGGCCATGCGATTTTGAATTGACTGCAGTTTGGAAATTTCCAACATGGAGACACCGTAAAAAAGGCCTCGAGTGAATAAACGCGTGAGCCAAACTCTTTAGGGTAATCTCATTAAGTGAATTTTTTATAGCCCTCATCATGCGAAGTTGTCGATGACATTCACCAGTTAGCGACTTTATGTGGCACTCCATTGTCATATTACCATCGAATACAACACCAAGATTACGAGCAACTTGACATAATTCAATCTTACTGTTGTTAATCTCAATCGAAGTGAAATTTAATTTGTTTATTTGCCGCCACGTACCAATTGGCAATAACTGGGTTTTGCATTGATTCAATTTGAGTTTGTGCTTGATCATCCAAGAATCAATCGCCTCCATGCACCGACCAAATCTTTCAACACGAGCTTGAAATGAAGTAGCTGGACCACTGACAATGATTTATATGTCATCTGCAAACCCATGATGCTTGAACCTGAATTAATCAATGATGTCGAAAACGTCAGCAGTGTATAGCAAAAACAGCAGCGGTCCAAGTACTGAACCTTGTGGTACACCATGCTTTACTTCCTGAACAGATGATAAAACATCTCTGCGTAATACCTGTTGTTTTCGCGCAGAGAGATATGATTCGAACCAAATAAGAACAACACCTGATATTCCAAAACATTGACGTAGCTTTCCAAGTAAAATCTCGTGATTAACACAATCAAAGACCGCACTAATATTAAGTAATGCCAAGATTGAGATATTTTGATCATCAATAGCAGCAAACAACTCAGATGAAACATCTATCAGTGCAGTCTCAGTTGAATGAAATTTTTTAAATCCTGACTGACATTTTGGTAGCAGATCATTATGATTTAAATGACAAATTAGCTGTTTGTGGACTATTCGTTCAATAACTTTCGACAAAAATGTTAGATTTGACACCGGTCTATAACTTGATAAGCTATTCTTGTCTAGTGTCTGCTTTTTTAACATCGGAACAACAATTGAATATTTAAAAGCCATCGGGAAATGCCCATAAGTTAAACATGCATTTACAAGAACAGTCAAAAACGGGAGAAACAGATTAACGTATTTTTTAAGTATTTTAGTTGGCAAATCATCCAGTGAGCACGACTTTGTAGGTGAATCCAAAATAACTTGACGAATCTCATCACTGGAACAGCACTGAAATAATGAAAGTTCAGCACATTCACTCATCCGATTATTTGAAACAATAGGCTCTTTGATACAAGGCATCGTCTCTAGTATGTTGTCAACCTTATTTTTAAAAAATTGAGCAAAATCATCAGAATTTAACTCATCTGACATATTAAGCGAATCAACAGAATTCATCTTGCATAAAACCCTGTTAATTGTCATCCAGAGTTTCTTTGGATTGGAGCCATTTATTTCAATCATGTTTCTCCAGTAGGCTTTCCTTTTTTCTGAGAGCAATGACTGTTTCTTCAACATGGCATCAACGAACTTTTTCTTGCTAACATCCCCAGGATTAAGTCGATAAGCTCTTTCAAGTCTTCTGCAGCGTAGCTTAGTCTGCCTACACTCTTCATCAAACCAAGGCGAGGCAGCATTATTTCTAGTCATCACATAGTGTTTCGGTGCAACAATATCTATAATATTTTTAACTTCTTTTTTTTTTAAAGATCAAATAAGTATTCAGGATCATCTGATTTAAAAGGTCCATTAATAGGCGAGTTTATTATTAACGCGGCAAATTTATCAAAATCCACACGATTCCATGAACGAACCAGTCTTTTTTCTAACAAAATAATTTAGTGGAATCGAAAAACATACTTGGACCAAACCATGATCTGAATAAATACCATATGGACCTACGGTACATGAGGACACAGGCAATTCCATTGAGGATACCACTAGATCCAAGATACTACCATGTACATGGGTAGTTTCCTTAACTCTATTTTCAAGGTTAAATGCATGAAAAACCAACCGGATTGGATGAGTATCTCCAACCTTTTCCAAATGAACATTCAAATCTCCCGTAAGAATGACATAGTCCGCCAATAACGAAATCTGCTCCAAGAGTAATGTAAGCTCATCAAAAAATGCAGGAGTAATTGGTACAGAACCCGGTCGATAAACTGCCAATAACAGAACCGTTCTTTTACCGCACCGAAATTTAATAGTAAGTGATTCAAAGGAATTTACCACTGGTAATTCTATTTTTTTAACCATGAAAACATTCTTAAAATATACAATTATTCCTCCATGATTAGGGTCGTGTGGGCGCAAATAATCCATAAATGAGAAGCCATAAGGCATAGCCAATTTCACAGAGATATCATCAGATGATCTATGCCATGTTTCGGTTAATACACATATATCTAAATCATTTGATAACAAATCATGAATTATATCATATTTTGACTGAATGGATCTAATATTAAGCAATCTCAAATTTAATCCGGTTTGGTAGCAGGCCTTGGATATCTCACTATTCTCCATTGCCCGACCACACCTCTGACCCGATATAAAAAATGACCATCTTTAGATTCCCGCGTTTTTGCCTCAAGAACCAATTTTTTAAGCTGCAGACGCTGGTTCGTTGTAAGGTCATCACTAATCCTCACTTCCCTCATATTTTCATCTAGCAGCGCTAATCTGAACAATCTTCTCATAACCAGGACTTTTGCAGAAAGGTTGATAAACTTAACAATCACTGGACGCGTGGGAGACGATACGCTTGGCTTTTTACCTTGTCTAAATTTTTTCAATATGTTATCATCTTTCAGAGACTCGTCTGTTAGGGACCTTAAAAAGCCAAGAACATTGCCCCTAACTTTAGCAACATCCAAGTCTTCGCTGAAATTAAAGAGAACTATGTTGTTCTCACGGGCCTTAACTTCATTTGCCACTTCAATTGTTCTGCGAACAGAAATGACCTGTTTACTAACTACGTCGAGGTCCTTTTTTACTACATCGGAAAATGAAGTACTGATCATATTTCTCAAAGAAGCAGCCTCATTATCGACAATTTTAGTATTACTCTTTACCACGTTTGACCAAGACTTGGTGATATCGTTTTTCAAGAAGTTAATAGACTGGTTAATTTTCTCGTCTAGTTTTTCTAACTGTTTTAGGCTCTCACCGCTTGACTCAAGCCTCAACTGCAGATTTTTCATCCCAATATCAATGGAATCAAACGTTTTAAAACGAGAATCAATGGATTCAAATTTTTTGTTAAGCATCTGCAAAAGACCTTTGAAACCATCAGCATGTTTCACGCAATTATCACAATAAAATTTCATGTTTTTACTTTTGCTAGCATATTTCACCAATTCATCATATAAGGCCGAAGGCTCGATTTGAACCACCGCATCACATACACAACATAATATGTTATCATCCTTTACGGAAGCAGATTCCTGAATTGATTGACTTCTCTGACATCTTGTTTTAGACATGTCGTAATCGAGCACACAAACGAAGTCTATGGAGAAAATGCAGTGGTAGATACAGGTCTTTAGCACGATGCAGCAGCTGCACTGTCGAAGTCGTTTCAGCGACAGCCAAGGTAGTGTTATATTCTGCAACAACAATGACCAAAATTTTCTTTCAAATCACTGTTGATATTCCAGACAAAATAACAGAACAACCGAAACAATGCAATACGTCCAAAAAACAAGGAGTGATAGCTTACAATTTAACAAAAACGTATTTACTTAAGATTTAAACTAAAAAATTAAATTAGTTACTTAAGCTCAAAATTATTCAAAGAAACAAAAATATATTAATAATCCTATCAATTAAACCTAATTTAAACAATATACACTCTGAGAAAAC